GAAAGAGGATGAAGGGGGGGAGAAGAGAGGGAAACAACTTATCCCAGCAGGAAAGACCAAACACATTCTTCATGCCAGCCCCCCAACGATGTGGTCACCAGCACTTGTACACTTTAAATGTGAAACAATTTTCTGGCTAAAAACTGCAAGGCTGTAGACACATGAGTAACAAAAGTAAACACCAGGGAAGTCAGAGCTCCCCCCAGAATTCTTTAAATGCTTATTTTTAATTATTCCCAGTCCTCTTCTATTAAAACAAACTTGGTTTTGTCCTTCACACGGACCCCACCCTGGACGGAGGAGTTAGATCCCATGCCACCCTCTTTGATACCTTGATTCCTGGGTTGGCAGGGTACCCTCCGCCAACCTCCCCTCTGTCGTGGTGAGGCACCTTGACTGTCCTCCAATCCCCAGCTGCCCAGTTATCTTAGTTCCATGAACCTTACAGAGGCCTAGAGAGAATTCCCAGGGAGGCTGATGGAAGACAGCTTCCCGGGGCTGGTGGGTGGGGTCTTCTCTGGAACAGTGCCCAGAGCTGCCTGTTCCACAGGTAGATTTCAAGGTTGATCCAGTGAGTCTGCAGGCCCAGAGCCACCCTCTCTGTGGCTACAGGGATGCCCAGTGACTGGCTGCCACCTCCACCACTGGGCTCTCTCTGGATTGAGGAATCGGGCCCCAGGTGGTGACCTGCACTCTCAGTGGCTGTCCTGCCCCCTCACGACTTCAGGAAAGGCAGGCACAGCTATGAAATCAACAATACCTGTGTAGTGCTTTATCATCAAAAAAATACTTTCACAGACTTTGATCCCCACATTCAAGGCAGTTTGGCCAGGAATTATCATCACCATTCTAAATACACAGAAACCCATACTCAGTGATGACAATGGGCTTACTTTGGATCGATCAGCCGGACCGGGGGCTGAAACACACCTTTGACTCTACCTGGCCCAGATTCTCTCCATGACCCCTGCCACCTTCCTTGATCAGGAAGCCCTCACGGAGCTGCATGGCCCCAGGGGAGGCGTCACTTTTTTGCGAAGCCTGGTCCACTAGGCGAGGCACGTGCACCCGGGGTGCTCCTGACCCAAAGACAGCGTCTCATTGTCACTTGCACAAAGCCACGGCACGGACTAGCGGCGGCCTTGGGAACCACATGTGTTCCTGAGCCCTGGGAGGAGACATCTGCGCAAAATATAAGTAGAGCATCTTGAGTTTACCCTAAAACAACCGGCACGTGAGTGGGTGAGAAAAGCCTGGGCGGCGTGACCTGACCTCTGTGCTCTCTTCTGGGTGCAGGAGTCACATAGCGGGCTAGAGGCTGAGCAGAAGAGGGGAGCCCAGACCCTGAAGGGCGCGCACAGATACGAACGGAAGGTCAAGGAAATGACTTACCAGGTAGGCAACGGCTCTCCTGCATCCCCTGGATCAGACCCGGCAGAAGCAGCGGGCGGGGGTGGGGGTGGGGGTGGGGGTGTCTGGGGCCCTGGCACCGACGCTGTGTTGGCAGGCCGAGGAGGACCGCAAGAACATACTCAGGCTCCAGGACCTGGTGGACAAGCTGCAGGCCAAAGTGAAGGCTTCCAGGAAGCAGGCAGGGGAGGCCGTGAGTAGGGGGTCCCAAGGGGGCGCCCTGACCCCGAGCAGGAGTCCGTCCCTGTTTCACAGCACCCATGGCAGCTGAGGCCTGAGTTTTCATTTGCAGGCTATAAACACAAGCTCAGGACGCCTGCCCTTTCCCTCCCCAGTCTGCATTATGCAAACCTAGCTAATATATTCTTAAAGAGCAAAGTTGGAGGACTGACACTACCTGACTTCAAGACTTAACATAAAGCACTAGTAATCAAGGCAGTGTGGTATTGCTGAAAGAGAAAAAGAAATCAATGGATCAAAACACATCAATGATACAAATTAGCCCAGAAACAGACCTACATACATATAGTCAACTAATACTTGAAAAAGGAGCAAAGGCAATTCAATGGAGAAATGGTAATCATTTTGTTACCAGAACAACTGGACATCCATATGCAAAAAATAAATTTAGACACAGATCTTATACTTTCTCAAAAATTATTCAAAATAGATCATAGACCTAAATGTAAAAGACAAAACAATAAAATTCCTATGAGATAAAATAAGAAAAAATATATGTAACCCTGAGTTTGGTGATGACATTTTAGATACAACACCAAAAGCACAATCCATGAAAGCAAAAACTGATAAACTGGACTTCATTAAAATTTAAATATTCTGCTCTATGAAGACACAGTTAAAAGAATGAAAAAAAAAGGACAGACTGGGAGAAAATATTTGCAAAACACGCGTTTAATAAAAGACTGTTATCCAAAATATGCAAAGAACTCAAAACTCAGCAATAAGAAAGCAAAAAACTCAACTAAAAAATGGGCAGGGCTTCCCTGGTGGCTCAGTGGTTGAGAGTCCGCCTGCCGATGCAAGGCCCTCCCCCGCCCCTCCATCCCTTCCCTCTGCCTCAGCCCACCTGGCTTTAATCCCACCACACTGGCTGACTCCACCCACCCCCAATTTACTCAGAATTCCCTGCCCTGTGAGCTAACCTTGAACACCTGGCCTTAATTCACGTCATCCCATCTCAGCCCTGGCCCTGGCTTCTACCACCTCCATCCCTCCCTGGCCTCCCTAGCTCCCACCCTCCAGTTCACCCTTTTTCATCTGCCCTTGAGCAAACAGGTGAAACCAACAGTGAGGAAATAGTTTGGGCTGAAACCAACATTTCCCAAATATCTTCTGGGGACACTAGGTCTGGAGGATGTTAATAGCAGGAAGTTGGGGCAGCAGGTGGGGGGAGGATGAGGTATATTACAGAAAAGAAATCGTTTGGGAAACTCTGGGTTACACAAAGTTGGACGACGGGTGGCTTTACTTCAAGGATTTCTCAGATTTTGCAGGTAATACGGGATGGACTCCATAGTGGAAAAGGCGTTCTAGATTGTAGCATTTCCCACCCTTTAATGGACCTTGGCATCTTTGTATTGGAGGCAGAGCCTCCCACAGGACTAATGTCCTGAGGAACAAAACCTGGGGGAGTCTGGCCTAGATAGATGACTGAGGATGTGGCTTCTCCCCTGTCCTTTTTACTCCCTGCCCAAGAGCCTGGTGCTTCTGTCCTGACCTCTGGGAAGCAGATCTGAACTGGTTAAGTTGGGGGAGGATCAGTACAGTCGCAGCAGGACTGGCCAGACTGGAGGGGCCCCGGGAGGCCACCTTCATCAGAAACGCTTCGATGGCCCTCAGACCCATCCAGTGCCCAGGCTGCAGGCAGACAGTACGGGGAGCAGGCCCAGGGCGGGGTTGGCGGGGGTGGGGGCTGGACCTTTGGTCTCTGACAGCTCCACATGCCTTGGGACACTTGGATTTCCTCCCAAGAGCTCCGGGGTGCAGGGGAACATGCAGGCATCCTGGGGGCAGCAGACCCGCAAGGTAACCAGGCAGTGCACACAGGAGCCAGGGGCATCGTCTTCACCGCTGCAGAGCTCAGCTTTCCCTCCTCTACCGCCAGGGAATTGGGGGCCCAAGCTCTCCTGGTTCCGCAGTTCCCCAGAGGCCATCAGGGACCGGGGACCTCAGCGCCAGAGTGAGGGACTTCCTCAGCCTCCTGCCCCCTCCACCTTCCGTTCAGGAGGAGCAGGCCAACACGCAGCTGTCCAGGTGCCGGAGGGTCCAGCGCGGGCTGGAGGAGGCCGAGGAACGGGCGGACATCGCCGAGTCCCAGGTCAACAAGCTGCGGACCAAGAGGCACGACATGGGGGCCCAGGTGAGAGCAGACTTCCTCCCCAGACGTCCTAGGACCCAGGACCAGGCAGCACCCAGCAGAGTTTGCAGGGTGCCTGTCAGTGCACCTTCCCCGCTGCTGGTCGTGCATCCACAAAAGTCACTGCTTTAGCCTGGACCCCGTGGTTCCAGGCTCACAGGAGCAGTGCGGGACCAGGGGCCAGACCACCCCATCATCCCCGCCCCTCCCTGTTGCAAGAGGCGCTGCCCAAGAAGCCCCTGCTTTTGGGGGGATTCACCCCAACTCTGGGAGCTCGACTGGTTTGTTTTTACAACGCGCGAAGGGAGATAAGGCCACGCCTGAATATTTTCCTGAGGCTCCAGCATCTCCAACTGCCCCCACTCGAAGACAGTGCCCAGCCTCACCTTTGGTTTGACTCATTTCCTGTGTACAATTCTTTTTCTCCCCCAGAAGATGCAAGAATGAGCCCTTCCCAATGCCCGTTGCCATGGGACACCTCAGGGAAACGGAGAGAAGGTGTCGTGAGAAATAAATTCTCCTGACTACTCGGATCCCTGCCTCTGCTGTGTTTATCATCACGGTCCATTCCTCATCCAGTGGGGTAGTTTTCAGATTCTTGCCAGGTCTATTTATAAAGTATAAAGAAAGTAAGGGATGTGAAAGCAGACCCTCCTGGCCCCGAGAAGGAAAGGTGGAAATCCAACCCATCGTGAGATATATCACCAGCTCCCCAGCAGTTAAAAATAAAAACCCTTTCAGATAAGCATACCCCTTTTTCTGCCTAGGAACTCATAATTCTTTCCAATTCAGTTCCCCTAGACTTACAGACAGGGAAACTGGACCCAGATAGACTAAGCACTCTGACTGTAGTTGTCCAGGGTGGTGGGAGACTAGACCCCAAGATCCCAGGCCCCCCAAGCAGGGCTCTTTCCACCAAGCAGCTCTGCTTTTCCATCCAATCCCCCCCAGCGGCCATGTCTCCACTCCTCTCAGACCACCCACAGTTCCCAGAACATCTTTGGAGGCAGTAGGGGCTCCTGAACCTGGGATGCGTTCCTGGGAAGACAGATGCTTCTTCGGGGAGGACTGCCTAGGGGCCTATCCTGCAAGCCCTGCCCCTCCTTCGGGTCCCTCCTCTTCACGCACATGGATCCAACCCCTGGTGCTTGAGCCAAGGGTGAGGGGCGCAGCTAGTCTCACGGTCACTCCCAGATTCCAGCCAGATCTTGCTGAGTGTGATTATGTTGGTTTGCTTACCCTGAAGGGTAGTAAGGCAGCAGGACAAACAAGGACAGGATCAGAAGCCAAGACTAAATCTGAGCCTCGGCCTGACCACTTAGTAGCAACAGCTGTGTGGCCTGGGTTGGCCGCATACATTCTCTGAACCTGAGTTGCCTCAACGGTCAGACTGACCCGTGTGGTCAGGAGCCTGGACTTTGGGTTCCAGCAAACCTGGATGGAATCCCAATATTATCACATACCAACTGTGTGGCCTTGGGCAACTTAAGACTAACGGTCTGAGCCTCAATTTCCTTATTCTGTAAGGCAGAGATACCAATAAAAATCACAGCTTCCCTGGGACAGATGGGGGGTTGAGGGGTTGGCAAGGCATGCAGGGTTTCTGGCTTACTGTGTACCAGGCACTGAGATGCGGTCTCCTTTAACATCTTAGATCGTCCCTTCTCTCTGGCCTTCTAGATCCTCCTTTCCATCTCATCACCAGCCCACCCCTTGTGCCTTTGATACAGTGGAGCTGGAAGTTAAGGATGGGTGGCACCAGTAGTGGTGGCAGGAAATGATTCTGAGGTCGGGTGATCTCAAGATGTCTGACATCACCATCACCATCAGCATCATCACTATCATCACCATACTCACCATCATCATGGCTAAACTTGAGGAATGAAAGAGTCATTAAAAATGATCTCTTCGGGGGCTTCCCTGGTGGTGCAGTGGTTGAGAGTCCACCTGCCGATGCAGGGGACACAGGTTCGTGCCCCTGTCCGGGAAGATCCCACATGCCGTGGAGCAACTAGGCCCGTGAGCCATGGCCGCTGAGCTTGCGCGTCCGGAGACTGTGCTCCGCAACCGGAGAGGCTGCGACAGTGAGAGGCCCGCGCACCGCGATGAAGAGTGGCCCCCGCTCGCCGCAACTAGAGAAAGCCCACGCACAGAAACGAAGACCCAACACAGCCAAAAATTAAATAAATAAATAAATATTTTTAAAAAGCTAAAAAAAAAATGATCTCTTCAATCTCCTCAATTTTACAGACAAGGAAACCAAGACTGTTCTCAAAGTCCCCAGATACCAGATCCTAATCCTACATTTCTGCCACCCTACTGCATCGCCCTCCCAATAAAAGTAATACAATTTCAAATACACGAACAATTTTGTATGATGCTGAGTATTTATGGGACTGTCTTCCTCTTTTCCATCCTGGCCTCTCAACAAGCCCATCAGGAGGTCGGGCAGATATTAATACCTTCATTTTCTAACGGGGCTGCAGAGGGACTGTGGCTTTTCCAATGCTGAGGAGGAACTGACATGGCAGCTCTTCAGACTCACTGTACAGCACAGAGTCTCACACAGTGGCCCCTCCCTCTGTGTGGGCGTGGGCTTTCGTGGTGAGAGCCCTGGGGCCAGCCTGCCGGGGTCCCAGTCTTGCCCTGCCATTCATAGCTGTGTGATTCGGAACAAGTTACTCCATGACTTTAAGCCTCAGCTTCCTCACGTATAAAACGGGATGTAACAATGTACTTTAGAGGGTTATACTGAGAAGTAAGTAAGAATATGCAAGGAACGCCCTTGGTCTGGAGCCAGACACACAGTTTGTACCCTGGTAGCCTGGCATCATGGTGGGCAGAGGTAACACATGGTCTAAGGGCACAGGTGGAGTGTAAGACAGGGGTCCAGACGGGCTGGGGCTTTCACTGTGTCCCTAAGGAGCTTCCTCTGGTTTGAGGAGCTAACACACCATGCATTTGAGGGTCATCAAAAAAATTTCCTGTGGAGTCACTCCTTTCTGACACCCCAACAAAAGCAGATCTGAATTCCATCTGCTCAAACACTCCCCAGGTCACCTGGAGCTGCCTAGCATCTCTGCACTTACCTGGGCCCCCACCTCCCCACCCTGGGCCCCCAGATCTCCAGCACATCATACTTTCCAGAAGACCTTGGGCAAGTAAGGGAATGTCTCTGAGCCTCAACACGGGGTAGGAAGTCCTGGAACTTCCTACCTCAGGATGAAGCTGTTGAAAGATTCCTGCGTGATGCTGTGCAAGAGATTTCCCCAGAAACGCAGTACTCCGCAAATTGGAGATGTTTTACTACCAAGAATGATGATAATAATGAGATCGTTGTTGTTGTCGTTGTTGTTGTTATTATCATTCAGCAGTGAAACCTAGCCACCAAACCTGGGCTTCGAGTTCTGGGGCCCGGGAGAAGAGAACTTACCCTGACCCACAGGCCTCTTCAAAACAGAGCTTTGCTGCCACCTCCTGGTTATGGAAAGACATGCTTTTCAGTTTGCAAATGACCTAGAGATTGCACCCTGAAGGCTTGACATTAGACGTTCAGAGTCAGAGGTGTCCTTGGGAATCAGGATCATGCCATCCAGGCCCCTGGTTTTGCAGACGAGAAAATTCAGATTCATGATAGGATCTGGTAACCCCACAGGATGAAGTGTCAGAGCCAGACGCCCAGGTCTCGGGGCTCCCAGACCAGGGGCCCCTCAACTGGGTGTCCGTAGGAGAGGACCCTGCAGAACCTGAGATGGAGGCCTAGGACCGGACAGGCAGCGAGTGGGTCCCAGCGATGGCCCTGGCAGCAGAGGGTGGGACCATGGCCAAGGGTCTTCTCCCAGACCTCACTGCCCTCATCCCAGGAACCACCAGGCTGCAAGAGAAGTGTTGGCCCCAGAGTGGAAGGCAGTGGAGCTCCACAAACAGCCCTCTTCCCCTAGCAGGGGTGGGTGATCAGACCCCGGGTTTCTCTGGGATGAGGGTGGCCCGTGGAGGTTCCAAAAGTGAGTCTCTTGGCCCTTTTCCTAGGCCCAAGACAAAGAATCAGGGCGTCCACTTCACAGTGAGCTATCCAAGGCAAGACCTTTGCCATCTGATGCTTCACACCCCTCCCACCTTTCTCCTGTCCCAAAAGGGGTCGAAACAACGGGTTTCCTTGCCCTCTGGCCTTTGGGTGGATCCAGCCAACAGGGAGCTGAGACGGAAAAGCACAGGGGAAGAGGAGAGAGAGGCCCTTTATTCCCTGCATCCCTCCCTGCAAGCAAAGGTCCCATTCCCTTCAGGCATCGCACTCCCCAGCCCTCTCTGTGTCCATCTCCAGTGACCGGTCCCCTCACCCTGCTTGCACCTGGAGCTCTGCCCTACCCCTGTGGCCTCCCTAAACCTGCCCACACCTCCCAAAAGAGTCTCTCCCTCAAACACCCCACACATTATGCTGATCTGAGTGTGTCGCCTGCTTCCTGCCGGAGCCCTGGCTGATACACACCCTGCCCTGCACACCTATTTCCCTGCTCCGCGGCCCTCCTATGGAGCGGGGCCAGCTGGCCATGCAAAGCACCACTGCCTCGGTGCGGCCAGCGTACACCTCCAGGTCATAAATCCCATTCGGATCCCTAATGACCCATTCAGTTTCACTGCACACTTCCACTTGACACAGAGCTCCCCGCAAATCAAGCTTTTAGGATTGCGTCCAGGTCCCTTTTTTTCATTTAAACTCAGTTCTGAAACCCAGGAAGAAGCAGTCCTTTCCTGCTG